GGGCGGCTGCCCGCTGTCGTTCACCTGCACCACGGGGCGGTGCAGGCCATAGTGCTTGGGGGCCAGCTTGCCCACCAGCGATACCACACCGCTGGCCGGGTCGATCTCGAAGAGTTTGAAAGGGTTGCCCCCAACGATGCTGTAGTTGAGGTCAGCGTTGAGACCGGTGTCAGCGTCAGTGGCAACCACCGTGGCCACCACGGTGCGCATGTTGCTGGACGGCGGCAGCACAGTGTAGGAGCTGTTGCTGGGGAAGGTGACCGTGGGCGCGTTGTCGTTCTCATCCATCACAAACAGGGACACAGTGGCGGTGGCAGAGCGCGGCGGCTCACCTCCATCCACTGCCTTCACCTTAAAAGTGTAGCTGGTCTGCTGCTCCCGGTCGAACGAGACGGTGGAGAAAATGGTTCCGGTGTCGTTCTCAATGGAGAAGATGCCAGCTGCCTGGTCGTGGTCACCGGGCTGGATAGAGAGGCTGAGCTCAGCATTGCGGCCCTTGTCAAAGTCCATCACAGTCACCATGCCCACAGGGCTGTTGGGCTGCAGGTTCTCCTTCACGTAGAAAGTGAACACGTCTTGCATGAAGCGTGGCTCATTGTCATTGCGATCTGCCACCCGCACCACCACTGTGGTGGAGCCCTGCAGCGATGGCACCCCCTTGTCCCGGGCGGTCACCTGGAACTCATAGGTGTCACGTTGCTCGCGGTCCAGCACCGCCTGCACTGACACATCCCCGGAGTCAGGGTCGATGGTGAAGATGCCACCTGGTGCCTCCGAGGAGAGGGGCGAGGCCTCCAGGGAGTAGGTGATCTAAAAGTCCGCGTCCGTGGCGACCACTGTGGCCACCCTCTCACCAGGCAAGTTGTTCTCCGGGAAGGAGACCTCCAGCACGGCCTGGCTGAACACAGGAGGGTTGTCATTAGTGTCCCCAACCCGCACCAGTAAGGAGTTGTTGCTGGACAAGCTGGGGCTGCCCGAGTCCACAGCCACGATCACCACGTTGTAGTCACGGACAGCCTCGTAGTCCAGAGGGGCTGAGGTGTGGAGAAAATACTTGCGCTTGTTCTGCGGCTCCCCTTCACCCTCGCTGGCTGGCTTGAGCTGGAAGGGCACATCGCCCACCACGGTGCAGGTCACCACGCCGTTTTCACCTTGGTCTCGGTCTGACACCTGCACCAGGGCAATGGGGGTATCCACCAGCACGTCCTCGGCCACGCTAGCCACCCCGTCGCGGAGCGGGATGCGCCCGATTTTCCGGATGTCGATGGTGGGCACGTTGTCGTTCTCGTCGCGGATGTTTAGCACGACTGTGGCCTTGTCTGTCTTGGGGGGCTGCCCCCGATCTCGGGCCATGACGGTGAAGCGAAGCTGGTTCACTTCCTCCCGGTCGATGCGGTGCAAGACACTGAGCCAGC